GCGGCTCAGGGGCCTCGCCTCTGGAAAACGCAGACACACACCGGCCTGCTTTACCAAAGTTTATTAGCAAATCAGAATAACAAATATCTCTGCTGCTTTGGACAGTCTGTACTATTAACAGGCGCAAAAAAAAAAAAATAAATTCAAAATCAGACTTTCTCTTAATAAAAATATATGTAGATTAAAAAACATCACCRCTAAAATAAGAATACAGCCATACTTTAATAAAAATACTTGTAGGTTTTTATTTGTAGATTTTTTCTTTCCTCAGACTATCACTTCGTTTCTGTCCAGGTTCCCTACTGCAAAACAGAATAATACACAGAAAACAGATTTTTTTCTCCCAGCAAAGCAGATTCCGTTACACAAATTCTTTTAATGTTCCCTTTCCTTCCACACCTTTTTTTTTTTTCCCCTTAGTGAAAAGAACCTGTAGGTTGTTGTTCAAAAYCCACCAACAGTGAAGTATAAAACCAACCCCTGCCCAGAGAAGTGTTGTCCAGCCAGTGCTGTGCCTCCCTGAGCAGGCTGAGCTTCCACCTCRTGGAACAGACATGGCAATAAACACAGAAAACACCACGGCTGGGACTGTAAAACTTCCTAATGAATCACAAACATCAGTCCTGAGAACAGGAGATTGTACACTCCCAGCGTGCTCCTATCTGGAACAGTCAGGGAATAGCTTGTTGTGGTTTCTGTGCAATGAAATGTTTGGGAGCCATTGTGTGGAGTGACTGAGTAYGGGAGAGAAAGGCCTGGCCTTAGCTCACCTGAGCACAAAGATGACTGAACACTGTGAGCTRTCTTTAATGTCTGTGTTAAATCACCACACCACATCTTTTATAAAGGTAGAATTAATAAGCCAGAGCTCCACACAGCCTTGCACTCCYCTCTCTGCTGTGTCCCATCTTTCTCAGTAGTTGCTAGGATTTTACATGAAATGACCCCATCTCTGTGAGAGCACAATCCTGATCCAACAACCTAAACACCTATTTTAGCCAGGGCTTAATTTTCAGAAGTGTAATTCACATACACATTCCACAATCTCAAATTTGGAAACTAAAGGTGTTTTTAAAGGTCAGAAATTCATAAAAATACCACTGGTTTCAAATTTATTTGTTTTTCCATATCCCTGGAAAAGCAGGAAGCAAAACTTGGTAGGTAAGCMGGTAAGCTTTTTATCCAAATATGTATTTTTAGTCTTCTGTTTATGAAAGATTCCCTCCAGACACTGCCATCATTTACATCCATCTGGCAACTATGCCCCACACAGCCCCACCTCCCGCTGGCCCTACTGGGGAGAATTGGAAAGAAAACCTCGAGGGTCGCTTATACATAAGAACAGTTTTGTAGCTGAACTAATGTAAAATATTGTAATAGTAATAATAATAATAAAAAGGAAAAGAGAGAGGAATAAAACCCAGGAAAAGACAAATGATGCAGAATACAACTGCTCAGCACCCACTGAACAATACCCAGCCCAGCCCTGAGCAGGGATCAATAGCTCCCAGCCAACTCACCCCAGTTTATGTACTGAGYATAACATTCCACGTCTGGAATATCCTTTTGACCATTTTGGGTCAGCTGTCCTGGCTATGGTCCCTCCCAGCTTCTTTGTGCACCTCCTCATTGACACAGCACAGGAAACTGAAAAGTCCCGACATAAGGTAAGCACTACTTRGCAACAACTAAAACATCAGCCTGTTATTAACACCATTGTTCTCATACTGAAYCTAAAMCACAGCACTGCACCAGCTRCTTAGGAGAAAATTAACTATTGCAGCTGAAATCAGGATACGCTGAAACAACAGGCTTCCCTGTTACTGCTCCCTCTTAATATCAACATCAGTGCAACACTTTTTGAGGATTCTGCCTCAAACATTACACAAAAAGCTCAGAAATACAACCTTTTAATTGAATATGAAGAGAAGCCCAGGCCCTGCACCTTATCCCCTGACAAGGCACATGTCACAGGCTATGGCAGCACAAGATATGAAATGAAATTAAATAAATAGTATAAAAATGCAGTGCCATATTTGCAGAAACATTCACTCTCCAGCTTCCACAATTCGTATATCCACATTCTCTTTCCTTTCCTTCAACTTTCCCAATCCAGGATCACCTCCACATCCCTCTCATACTCATGCCTTTCCACTGCTTTTTTTCCTCCCACCCCCTCCTTTATTTTGTTTCTTCCATCAAATCCCACTTTCTGCCTCTCTCCTCCAAASCTTCTCATACATTTCCTTCCTTTCATAGAAATAATTTCCTATCAACTGCATTTTATCTCTAACTAAGCAAAGATATGAAGTTACGAATAAAAGTAGCCTATTTTTATTTCTTTCTTAGAAACTGGAAGCCATCAAAATTAAGCTGATAATACTTTTCAACACCAGTTCACACCTTCTGCCCTAAAACTTCAGCTTAGAGGTGACAAGTGTAAAGCCAAACAAAACCAGTTTCCTCATCCATCTATAGTTGTTTCTAACRGAGTTGCTTTCTGATTTTTAATGTATTAAATGGCAAAATAAATAGGAACTTCTAACAGYAAATACATTCAATGAAAAAATACCTTACTCTGTGCATTTTTGGTACCAATTGAACAATACTGGCTTAGAAATTAATATAGTTAAAATTATACAACTTCCCTGTGCAAAGATATTACATCAATATCAAATATCAAAGTGCTTACTTCCTTAATTTTGGATACAACCCCCTGAATAAAATACAGATGTCTGCAGTCTGGGTTACATGTAAACAGCACCTATACAAATAGGTGTTAACTAGCCTCCAATTTGCTGACAATAATATTGACAACAATTACAAAGTCTAGTAAAGACTATTTTTTCACATGCCTTGGGTTTTTAAAGGTCCTTTTTTTTGGTGAGGCATCCTATCATCATTCTGTGAAAATGCTTTATTTGGGTGCATGTAAATCACTACAGACTTTTTTTCTCTTTTTCATTTGAAAATTGCCCTGGCCTACCTCAGTACCACCATCAGTTATACTCACACTGACAGTGAGAGTTGAGTTAGCCTTCAGCCAGAGACAATGGCCAGAGCACAGTTCTCATTGCATTTCAGAACTGTTTAATGCWGGGTTCACAAAATCAAGGTTATGACATGTAATGGCACGGTGATTTTCTTTTCAGTGACAGTAATAACAGAGTACTGCACACAGCTAACAAAACCTGTCAGATACCTGCCATCAGATATTTATGCTATTAACAAATACAAAAACTRCATTAAAAAAATTTCTTTAAGACTCAGTAGGAATTTCCCTGACTGAAATAATAATGCACACAGTCTTAACCACTGTGCAGAATGTGAATTATTCCACAATAAAAGAGTGTCAGTAGAAACCCTACACCCTGAGTGCAGCTGACATCACAAATAGATTGAAGTATCACTGAAACACTCAACATGTAAAAGCACTCCCAACTGGTGCTTGTGCAGTAGTATTTCCCTGGGAATCTTGAGTCCCAAKTTTCTAAAATGCTCAGTAGGCATTTAAGACCATCATCCAGCTGTTGTGTAGTTTCAGAAGCAAGAAGATCATACCAAGAGCTCAGACAAGAAATCCAAGTCTGCTGCCAGGCTTGCTTGCTTCAGCAAGGATGAGCRTTTCCTGTCTCCTGCCCATGGAATTCTCACCCAATTACGATATGCTGCTTCTCCTCTGAATGGGGGCTTTTCTTGGTGAAAGATCCTCACTGTCACTTTCATAGTTTCTCTGAAACAGAAAGGCAGCAGTGTCTCAGTCAGCAAAAATGACTGCTCAATAAACCTGGTTGTTCTCCTCTTGCCATGGAAGGGCTGTACCTACCGAACTCCCATCTTGCAGCAGGACCTTGTTCACCAGCGAACGCGATAAGTGGTTGCACAATGAGACAATGCGGTACGAAAGCTGTGGAGAGAGGGAAGAACAATGTGCCAACACATACCCAGTGCACATATATCCAAACACATTTCATTTGCCTATTACATTCAAGCTACTAATTTGACATTCAAGCTCTATCTTGCCCTCTGATCCCATCAGGCTTGGGAAGCCATATGAGAGAAGGATTAAAGKCTCGCTGTCGTACCTTCCATCGCCTTCTAGCGTATTGCCTTTTGAAGTTTTCCATGTTGACAAGAGATGATTTCCGAACCAAAGCCTGTTGCTTGTCCATGGGCTGGAAGATAAAAGAGCAATTTTATTGTTCAGCTCCCTTTGGTGCATGAAACATGCAAGATAGCTCATGTGCACTGGAGCTGGCTGAAAGAATGCTGGGGAAGCTGCAGATTCGTACATATAAAAGCAAAAGAAAAATAATAAAGTCTAGCCCACTCTGGGCCTAGACGAGACCCTTTTGATGTCAAATAAAATCCTAAAACTAGAGGGTGCTAAGGCTATGCTTTCACTTTGTACAGTTGCTAAAGTGCTTTTCAGCGCACACCTGCCCCATCTCCCTTTTCTCRGGATAACTTCACTGTAATGAAATGGGACAAAGTTAGCTGTCATATCATTTGAGTGACAGGGATACATGATACCTGAAAAAACTCCAGTTTTGCCCTTTAACCATGCCCGGAGACATTAACACCRTGGCAATAAAATAAGTGCAATATTYGACTATGGAAAAATAGGAACAAGAAAGAATATAGACCAGAATTCAGACATGTCCCTCGCATTTTGGATATCAACCTCGTGCTAAGAAACAGATGTTCCACAAATCCTGACACAGTCCTTCTGAATATTAAGCCCATTTTAACTCCAAAAGCACATAAAAATTTGCATAAACCAWAAAACCAAATCTGACAGATTGAGAGAAAAAATGCTTCAAAACCAAATCTGGCAAAAGCAAAAAGACAAAGGCCAGGAATCAACCCTTCAAAGATTATGGAGTGACAACCATTCCRGCTGTTTTGATCTGCATATGTAGGATGTGGATAACACAGAAATATTTGTACTGAACTGGACTGGAATGCAACCAAGTCATGCACCTGAAGCAGCAAGAGCACCAAAGTAGAATGGAAAACATATCARTGAGGATTTAAACATCTTTTTCTGCAAAACTATTTAAAATGTTTGAGACAACAAATTCACTTTTCTCATCGAATGCTGTAGGTTTAGCATTTTGCAGGTATCTCAGCAGCAGTTCAAGGAGCCAGGCTATCAACGGGCCTCCTTCTCATTTAGATGTACACACCATTTGCATTCAACAGAAMCAGGACAGTTAAGCATTAAATATAATTTCCTCACCCTGCAAACAGCCAGCATGGTGCAAAAGGCTAGCAGAAATCAATTTGAAGTGGAAAAAATGTCACTGGCTAAATGTCAGCTGTACAATCATTATGAAAAATTTCCCAGTGCCCTTTCAGCAGCAGAACCACCACTGACTCTAAATAACTCACTTTACTGCAGACTGTTAATAACCTCCTCTCCATTTTAAGCACCCTGCAACCCAGTGACCTTGTCATTCTCTCAATCATCAGGATCTCTTCTCAAAACAGGGTGTGATTAGCCTTAAGGACCGTCACAACAACATTACTCTCATCCAAACATGTCAGGAACAAGGTGGCCTCATTTAATGCTCCTTCTCATCATGCCAGTGCATTTGTTCATAAAGAAAATCTCTATGAACAAAGAATGTGAGATCCTGGCTSAGAGGTAGCAGACTCTCTTTCTTGAGAGTGTTTTCTGTAAATACTAACYCTCACTAGGCTTTAAGTTACATTTTAAGAATGAAAGCTTTCCCTCTCACAAGAAATCCTGTGTTCCAGTTGCCCTGGACAGTTTCCAAWGGGTCTTCCAGCTCAAAGCAACTTGCAGAAGTGATGACTGAAGTGTTCTGAGACACTAAAAAATGGACACATGCAAAGTTATCTATCTGCCACAGTAGAACCCAATTCTCCCCAGCCATCAACACCAGCTTGCCAGGGTCACATCCTGGCTATCTGCACTACTTGGAAGCTTTTGAAAATTTTACATCTTGTGCCAAGAATGATGCCACAGGGAGCACATCCARTTTCCATCCTCCTTCAAGTACAAYGGTGGGAGCAACAACACCACAAATGAACAACTGTTTCCACAACTCTGAATTTGCATCAGCCTCTGAACATCTTTTTAGGACATAGCAGTAATGGGTCCACTGTACTCTGCACAAATTGGATGAGAGTATGCTTTTATCTTTTTATMTCAAAGTAGGAAACATTATTCTTAATCACATTAGGAACAACAACAACTCAATTTATTTAGGTCATTAACTTCTCTGCAAAAGGAGAAGGGAGGAGGGGCAGTAAAAGATGTACTCAAATATAAAAACATACACTCTAGCTGGACTTGAGCTAATATCTCATTGATTCTTGTAGTTGTACTACAGTCACCTTGCAGCAAAWGCCCACAGAAACTTGACATCTTTTTCAGTCACTAACTAACCATCAGGAAACAACTGCAGCCTGCATAAATAACAATTTATTGTGTTCAAAAATGAGATTGGTACATCTGTGCATATTAATATAGTATAACCAAATTACTTCTCTGAAATACAAGGCAGCATGGTTCAAGGYTGGATTAACTTCTCTTTTACTTTTTAAAACCTAAGGAAAAAAAAACTTTATAGCAAGAACACTAGTCTCAAATGCCACACCACAGATTAAGTTAGTTGTAGCTTTATAATCTTCTTCACTGTAGAAAACAAACCAGAGGACTATGTCATCACTTACCAGTCACAAACTGACATTTGCACTGTAAAATCACACTGCTGTTTGATCATTACGAGTTCCCAGTGTATCTTTTGGATAGGATTTCTTTGGTATAGGACAGGAAACTCAGCTGTTGATTAATACTTTAGTTTAAAATACAGCTTACCTTTGSTAAAAGAGGTCTAAACCCTGCACAAGTAGTCTAAAAACTAATCCTAACTTTTCTTCGCTGGCAGCCATCTCACAGAGAACTTCCACAGTACCAGTTAAATGTTAAATTACAACACCATTTGCTTTATTTTACAGGACAGATTTAACCTTAGCAAATATTTCTCTCATAAGGTCTATAGAACTGCCTGCAACAGGGATGTACAGCTGTTTCCTTCAGCCAACCAAAGATGATATAAGGAGATTTTTATTTGTTTCCGGGCATCCAGTTTCTATTAAATAGAGACTGACTTATTCTTTATTCCACATGGATTACCTAGTAATCTTTAGGAACTGTAATACATGATGCAGAGTATGATACAGGCAATACCAAAGGCTGTAGGGTTAGAGGTATCCATACCACTGTGATAAATCTGTTCCTGCAAGTTCAGACACTGAAATATAGGAAAAACAAAACTTCAACACTACAACCCAYTGGGAGACCACAGCTTGGGTCAGCACCTTGTGCAATACATCAGAACTTCTACTTTAATTCTGGATCATGTCTTTGTGTAGAATCTATGCACTGGAACCTTTTTTAATTGATATACATGAAACAAGCAGCAAACCCTACACCTAGCCTGATCTCAGTGTTACTGATGGGATTCTGTCACATCAAGATTCAACCCTGCAAGGAAYTCTTCACAGCGAGATCTATTTAACAGCTCCATTAGTGATTCATTAATATCTTTGTTGAAAACAGAGTCAAAGTTTCCATTCACACAGGCTTCATTTTCCAGTTGAAAACTACTCATTAAATCCTGGATCCACTTGAGCTCCTCTGAAAGTTCCTGTCTGAGGGATTCATAGTGGCCCTGCAGCTCAGCGTATTTGCCAGATACCCCTGTGAGACTGGCACCGACAGCCTTGATATCCTCGTGCAAATGTCTTTTCAGGGACTCCATTTTACGSTGCTCATACTTCAGCTGGGACAGCTTGTGCCTGACGCTTTCACTCTCTTCTTTATACCAAGCTTCTTTCTCGTTATAGATGGAGAGCAGAGCATCCATGTCCTCCTGCAGGGAATCGTGGGACGCAGCCAAGGTGCTGAAACCCCGCTCCATGCGGGAAATGTCCTCCACGACGCGGGCAAAGCGCTCRAAGTTGATGTAGGTGTTATTGGGGGGCATGCTCGAGTGGCACTTGATGGTGTACTCCCTCAGACGTTTTGTCTTCAGCTGCGTGCTCTCAACCTTCTTGTGTTCCTGGACTTTGGTTTCGTCTTTCAGCTGGTGAGGAACCAACATTACTGAACGTTTACMGGACTGCAGCAACTCAAAAGCTCGACACAAAGGATGCAGCAGGGGCTTCCACAATGCTGGGAGATTTCTTTGCTCACACAGATTTTCCTTCATGCATTTGATTAAAAGAAAAAACACCAAACACACAAGCCAAGAACGGAATGTGACAAGTGATGTGCATTCATGGCTGCAACTTATTTTTATGTTAATTTTTAGCAGTTAACAGTGTCAAAGCTATCAATACTTGTGAGAGGAAAACCATCAACCCTAAAATCACTCYAATTAATGTTTTGTGCAATGCAAAGCAAGAACTGAATTTCAAAAATCCTCATTAGTCATGCTGAGACTAGCTAAATGKATTTTCAACAAAAGACTTATCCACATAAGCAAGCAATGTTTCTGATGAATATATACAGGCACACAAATGTAAACAATGCAGAACACGTGGTACAGCAGTTCTCTCTTGAGAGAAATTATATTTTCCACATTCACTGCAGTCAACTCTCAATTCAAGAAAGGACTAAAGCCAACACACAGTATATACCCATGCAAACAGAGAAAAATGGAAAAATGCAAATCCCAGTCCACCATGGGATACTGTAATGTGCAATAAATATCAGAGGTTTGTCACTCTTTTTGAAAGTTATGATAATAAAAGAAGTAATTTGCAGAAATCCAAGGATTTGGTCAGACCCAACTGATTTCCTCCCAGTACATCTCTTTGAGTCACCCAGCATCACAAAGTACTTAGGGGGCAGTTTTCCATTTAACACACCAGTAAAAGTGAGAATATGATCTTTGCTTTGCTCACAGCAAAAACCAAGATCTGTTTCTTTATTCAGTCTTACCGTTATCCATGGATGAGACAGAGCTTCCTGAATTGTAAGCCTCTTCCTAAAACACAACACAAAAAAACCCCAAAGACTTGAATGAGAAATATTTGGTACACAAGTCCATTGACCCCCCACGTCTCCTGGACTTCTTATGAAGCATTTATCAAGATAATTCCAAGACAAACCCTCAAATGTCAGGGTTATGTTTCTTCCTGAGGCACACTGCTTGTGCGTAGTTTAGTTACTGTTCTAGTAGGTAACAGTCCTTACTCCACACAACTTGAATTCTTATTTCATCTCCTGCATGTTTGTGCACCTTTCCATAAAAAGTAACACAACATTCCTTTGTTTTGCTCACTCCCCATGCTTAGAAAATACATTCTTGCTATATGCCTTTGATATGACTGTGTCTGAATCAAGGTATACAACAGTAATAACACCAAAGCTGTCCTTTGGACCATGGTATTATAGYACTGCAGGAGCTGTCATTTCCTGAAAGCAACATTCCTGAGAGGAATAATTCAAACCTCATCAGAGTGGATCAATCCTAACTTCCTTCTGCAGCAGCAGTTTGGTGAGCAGCACCAAACAGCTGAGAATCAAAGACAGAAACAGCACCTGGTGCACAGGCACCATCTCTGTACGTGGGAAAAATATCAACATTATTGACCTCTCCTGGAGGCTGCYAGACCTGTGCAAAACCCTCATCAAACCCTACTCTACCCCAGACTGAGGCCTGGTGACTGCAGAAATCTTGACTGAACAGCTCTTTCTCTCTCACAGCTATTTTCTCCCCTAATGAAGCCATTAGAAAGAATCACAAAGGCCTGACTTTCCCCAGGACAAAGAAGGTTACAGGGAAAGAGACACTACTTCTGTGTGCACTTTATAAAAGCAAGAAAAAAAAAAAAAGACTGTGGTTCCTGCAACCTAGAACAAAGATGTGCACAGCTGCCACACAAACTCGAGGTGACTATCACAGACACAGAAACTTAGAACAACTCTGTATCAGCACGTGTAATGATTTTTGTGGCACTGCACCACTGGGGGTGTATTCTGGGATGGTATCACTTCCTTGCCTGCAATAGTGGAGTGGTAGTTACCCTGAACTCAAGATTCTGCACACCATTTTCAGCCCTCCAACTACACCCTATTGTGCCAGCGAGACTCAGGTGAGAATTCAGTCATGAACGTGGCATGTAGCTGAGGAGATTTGGTTCCTCTCAGGCTTTCTGGGTGCATTAACTAAGGGCATAGAAGCATCCTCCTGTCTTGCTCTTGAATAGCAGAAAACACTGCAAGGAAAGCTTTTTAACTCATCAGGCCACATTTCACCAGGTTTATTTTTAGAGACAAATGGGCCTTTCTGAATATTTGCTTACCGTGTATCTTTCACCAGTAGTTTCTGAATAAAATCTTTTGCCAGGTCACTGGTATTGCTGAAAAATTCTTCATCAAAATCRTAATTCACAGCTGTGATGTTGGCAAGTGTTTCTTGTTTAGTTTCTCCAAGGAAAGGTGATGCACCACTAAGCCTAGATAGACCAGAAAGMACAATTAGTTGGAAAAATCAACATCAGAAGTCTCCTAACTAAATTACAGTGACCTTGGAATACACTCTGAGGACATTTGTGGCTCTTGCATTGTAGCAGCTCTGCCATGTAGGGGAAAACAGGGCCAGCTCTGGCTCACTACAGCTGTGGTTATGAGCCAGACTTGCCTTGAAAGTCTCTGGTGCAGTACTAATGCATGCACTCAGAAATGAACAGATTCTCCTCTCCTCTGTGTCTCATTTAAGTCATTTCTAATCAAACTAGAAAAAGTTTCAGCTGAGGAGAGTCTCTATCCCTGTGAACCCACAGAGACTACCCAGCTGAAGCTTCTATCACCTTCAAGCAAATAAAGTCACGTTTCTACAGATTTTCTCCAGGTAGGGAAAGGCCTGCCCCTAATTCTTGTCTCTCTGCAAAGCTACTGATGAGCTCCCTGCACAGTGGGTTCAACCAAGAGACCTTTCTCAGCTGGAAGCAAAATACAGTGTGAGAGCAGAAGCCAGGCACAGGGCCTTGCCTAGGGCCAGCTCCACTGGAGAGGGAGGGCCATGCTGCTCAGTGAAGGAGCAAAACAAACCAAAAAGGCTTTGGCTGCAGTCAAATTCAACTGTTTCTGAACAACACTAAATTTCATTCTATTGGCACCCTGCTCCAACTGCAAGGATATAATGGAGACATCACCCCAATAAAATGYTATTCAGTAATCTTTACTTATGAAAAAAAAGCTTTCCTCCTGCTTTGTCTATTTTACAGCTGTGACTCGACCTTCCTCTTTAATGACTCTGCACCTCTGCTCCATAAAAGTTGTGTCAGAGCAGAGTCATCCCAGACGCCGCCTGCCCTGCCTTTCCTCCAGGTTCCTCCTCCCCCAACACACAGGGATGCTGACTTGCAAAAGTCTGGTTTACTGGAAATGTTATTTATACYGAGAAAACTGATCTCATCTCTTTTTTTATAATCTTCTGGGTCATTATTGTGCTTATCTATTATGTCCAGCTTTGATAACACAGTTTCAGGATGCAGCAGGCTCAAAACAGGACTGCAGCAAACCGAAAACCAAACTGAGGTTTTGAATACTCAACCATTTGCTTACATGATCCCACTCTCAACAGACTTTTTACCCTGTCTGTATTGCCACCACCAGGCTGACTGGGAATATTGAGGGACAAGCAGAAAGTTAGRTTAGCCCCATGCACAGCTACCACATGTGGTTTCATCCACAGAATAAACACTCGAGTGCATAAACTGCTTCTTCCCCCTCTACAATTGTACAAGGACACCAAAGCATCTGACACAGCAAGAYACCATGAGTGAGGTCCTCCGGTTGTGTTTGATGCAGTAAATTACATCCCATAAACCACAGTCAGTTGCAATTCTTAAGGGGTTTTACATATTTCCTCTYAAGCCTTTGTTCCATTTCTGCTGGCCACAAAGAAGGCTACAAGCAGGCACCTCTCCACAGACAATGGGCTTTGTTCCAAAACTGAAGCTTGGAAAACTGCTCYAGGGCCTTGGTTTCTTTTCCCTTTCCCAAAATTATGCCATGGAGCAGCCGCAATCCTACCCTCTGCCCTTTTGTTGGAAGCCAAAATCAACAGTGCTCT